ATGGTATCAGGTGCACAACCCAATGGCAGTTCCACTCCTCACCACTTAAGACTTATCCACCAACTGACTGACTGACTCTCTAAGGGCAACTATGGTCTCTAGCCTAGTCTACTCTAAGGCTGTCACTAAGGACTCTACTGCTGATCAGGAGGCATTTAAGGAGATCCCCCAACTCATGAGGAATTCTTTAACATCGCAGTCAGGACGACGTGTTTGGGGGTCTTGTCCCCAGGACGTGTCAGTCGTCAGACGCGGCCTTTAGCCCTACTAAGTCCCGTGCAGGTTTGGTCACCACCGCTCTATCGACCGCATGCACAAAGTCCTATCACCTGGACAGAAGTGACTCGATGCAGAGAGAAGAGACAGACTGACGCTTAGCAAGTACCGAGGTTATGTGCGCATCCACAGGGTAAGCGGTAGGCCAACGCTTGGAGAGAGTATACCATGCTCCAGCTTAGTCAACAGTCTTGGTCAACACCTCCGGTCAGCAATCTTGGTCAATGCCGGTCAACACCGGTTAATGCCAATCAACGCCAGTCAACGCCGATCAACGCATTGGTCAAACTCACCCGCCGCCGATCACCTTCGTTCTATCAACCTTTTACCTCTGGCTATGGCCGCCGACCGTTCTCCTTCGTCAACCTCCTCTTTCTCCCTTCTGTCTTCTTCCTCACCCGGCCTTGGCTATGGCGTTCTCCCTTTCTTCTTCGTCTCTCCCTCCTCCTTCCTTCTCTCTCTCTCATCTTCTTAATCACTCCTGGCGATTGTCTTCCTCCTTATGTCCGAGCTCGGTGGCTATGGCCGCCACTTCTTCTTCCTCCTTCGCGCATCCAATCTTCTCTCTCTCTCTCTCTCTCTCTCTCTCTCTCTCTCTCTCTCTCTCTCTCTCTCTCCATCGTCGTCGTCTTCTTCCTTTTCAGGCACGACAATTATGGCCGCTCTTCTTCAGCGCAACAATCTTCTTCTCCACGACGGTCCTCTTCTTCACGACGATCTTCGGCGATGAGCGCAGATGGCAGGTGCGCATGAGCGCGCTACCAGCAACGGTGTGCAATCAAGTAGCAGCTGCGCACAGGGAATGTCGTGGCCGCGCGCAATAGCGACGCACGTACGGGAAAGAGCGAGCAGCATCGCGCGCAGGCAACAGCCGTGCACAAATGACAGCGCACGCGAAAAGCAGCAAGCACGCAAGATTGTTGGGCACGCGCAAAGATGATGAGCACGTGCAAATGGGCACGACGCGCAATCTGCCAGCGGGCGCAGTTATGGCTGCTCTTCTTCAGCTTGCCACAACAATCTTCTTCTTCACAACGGTCCTCTTCTTCACGGCAATCTTCGGCGATGAGCGCAGATGGCAGGCGCGCTACCAGCAATGGCACGCAATCAAGTAGCAGCTGCGCGCAGGGAATGTCGTGGACGCGCGCAATAGCGGCGCACGCACGGGAAATAGCGAGCAGCAGCGCGCACGGGCAACGACCATGCAGAAATGGCAGCGCGCGCGAAAGGCAACAAGCACGCGAGATTGCTGGGCACGCGCAAAGATGATGAGCGCGCGCAAATAGGCACGGCGCGCAATTGCCAGCGGGCGCGCACGGCGACAGCGGTTGCGGCGCGTGATGGGACAGGCACGCGCGGAAATAAAGTGCGCACTGTCACGCAATCTGGCCGCACGACGCCCCTCCTCCTTCCAACGTCAACGACAATGGCGCTCGGCGATGATGACGACGAGGGCGGCGACCGCGATGATGACAATGACGGCGTTTGCAATGCGGCGGCAGCGGGAACCAGCTCTGATACCAGTGCAATCAAACTTGTCTCAAACTTGCTTCAGCGTGCATGCAAACAGATGACGTTCAAACTTGGCGCGTAGCAAACAGATGACCTTTCGAAACTGTAGCAGCTACGACCTTTGCTGACCCTATGACTACTAACACTAAGGTCTACGGGTCAAAACCTCTCGACCAAACTATATACAACAGCCAAACATACGACTTTCAGGAATCAGGTCGCAGGTTCAAACACACAGGTCAACGGGTACTGTACATGGGTAAAGAGACGGGTCTAGGGATCGAGCCCTGGGTGCTGCATCTGTCACCATGGCTCACAAGCAGAATGAATGAATGACTTCGACGCTACCTCTTTATTTATACTTCCGATCGTCGTTGGTCTGCCCTTGGACCCCGGGCCCGGGATGTACACAGTCCCGCATGGTACTTGCTGACTAGACAAAGTGCAACCTGGGACTGGGTACCGCTGACTGGACTAAGTAGGACTCGGATCGCCCTTTGCCGACTGTGCTAGGACTGCCCCTTGCTGACTCAGCCGCGGACTGACTCCTAGGACCTACGAAGAGCCAGTTCTAGAGCTTCTAGAAGGTCGTGGACTTGACCTTTCGAACCTGTAGCAGCTACAACCTCTGCTGACTCTATGACTACTATCACTAAGGTCTACGGGTCAACGGGTACTGAACATGGGTAAAGGGACGGATCTAGGGATCAAGCCTTGGGTGCTGCATCTGTCACCATAATAGGTGAGAAACAGTTTCAGTACCCATTCATCCCAAAAATTCCAAATTGATATCTTCCCATGTGCAGTGGTGAATGAGCATACAATGTCCAGGGCTCCCGGGGACACCATATGCTCTCCGGGTACTCTCTTGGATGTAGCTGGTAGCTTTTACAGCCACGTGAGTATCTGTTCACTGAGGATGATCAAACCCCAACACCCTTCCTTTGTAACATCCTATTTCACATGACCTCTTGGATGATTTCAATGATTCCATGACAATTAAGAAGGCCGTGGTAAGAGAACCACCGGGATGAAACCACGAGTGGAACTGCGCTAGAGCTAGCGCCCCGACACCACCAGACCGGCGAGGCCCGGACTGCCGCCTAGACTAGTACCGGGGGGGGGTGCCCTTCGGCTGCTAGTCCTGTACGCGCGCCCAGCCAACGTGCGCGGCATGCTGATTGCCACATGGCGGCTGTTGTAGGTGATGTAGGTGTTCCGCAACGCGTGGACAGGGGTGACGCCAGCCGTGGAATTTGCCGACAGATTGAGATAGCGGTGGCAGCTTCTAACATCAATAGAATACGAAGGTCGGAGAACTAAGAGTTGGATGGCAATGGCGTGTTTGGGCGAACTAGAAGCCAATGACTGGTTTGCTATCGTCCAAGCGAGCAATGAGCGGGTGCGTCACATGCTGGCGAAGTTGAGAGCGGTGGCTGCAGAAACGATGGTACCATCCATTTCGTGGATCCGGAGCGAGCGGCAGAGGTTACTGGAGACTGCATGGGGGCTGGAGGGGGGGCCGCCCCCCTGCCTGCTTGTGCTTATACATGGGCCACGAATGGAGGATTTGATGTGGAAGTTTTACGACGATCCTGAGGAGGGGCAAGATCTTTGTGCTGAGCTGGAGGACCGCTGCTACGACGATATGGAGGACCGCTGCTTCGACGATATCAACTCCATTGCTGACGACACCATCGGTACCAACAGCAGAGACGACGGCGATCTCGCCTGCCTGCATTACTGTCTATTACAACAATAACAACCGCAGCAGAGATAACGGCAATCTCACCTGCATCGCCGTCCACTATAATAACAACAATACCAATGGCAAAAGCAACGACAACAGTGACGACGACAACGATCATGCTGATAAATTCGACGATAACGGTTATTTTGGCGACGTCGCTTTCACTGGCGCCGTTAACAACAATGACGACAACAACAACAATAACAACAACATCAGCACAGGTGACAACGACAACAACATTAGTAGTGACGACAACAACATCAATATCAAGTACAACAATAATAACAGCCAAGATGGTGAGCTTCGTGCATGCATCCAAGTCAGCCAGGGCGTCGGCAAAGAAGTTAATAATACTGGCAACGAAGATAACAGGGGTAACATCTATATGTGGGTGTTTGTAGTGCAAGGCAGGCTTCCCTGGCGACTCTTGCCATATCTGGTGGAGGTAAGCTTGCTGGGGAGGGAATGACTTTGTGCATGCTCATGACAATTTGGGGCTCCCCGTGTGGGCGGAAAGGCATAGCGATCCTTCCATGGGATCCGGGTGGGGTCGATGGGGAGGGTCGTGGGGTGGGGTAGAGCCTTTGGGGAGGCCCTGCAATCTTGGATTAGCCACGTGGCAGGTGAGTTGCGACGGTGAGATAATTTGCTCTCCTGCTGCGTGGATTGTGGGATTTCAGTATGAAATTGACTCTCTTGTTTGCCCGCACTGTGGTAATGGACAATTTCGTTATGCTCGGGTGGTGGCCCCTTGTTTTGAATGCCCCTCCCTCTCGGAGTGTTGTAAGAGGTTCTTAGGTTTTGACGAGGGTTCCAAAGTTAGGAGACGACGCAGTATTTTCACAGGTCATGGTCTGCCATGAGGTCGTTTAGATGTTATCTTCTGCACTGGTGACCTCTTGCTTGAGTGGAACTGGGGATTATGAGTAGTGGGGGGGGACATTGGCATAGGCAATCTCTAATTGCTGACTGTGAATGGGGAAACCGGATTGGACCGGGGTTCTCCGATAATTGGCTTCTGCCACCCTGCTTTGATTACCCCTTCCCCTCATGGTGCTGAATGACCTTTCTGGAATAAGGTGAGGGTTTCTGAGTAGGGAGATATTTTTAGACTGTAGTGAGCAGTTAATCCCCTCGGTCGAGGGCAGTCAATGCTGCTCAATAAGCTGAATGGGGTGTGTCATTGTGCTGGCTCATCAACTGCCAACGATTAGAGTGGGATGAACTCGTGCCATGTTATATGACATTTGAATGTTTACAGGGACGCTGGACCCGTTTTCCAGCAGGTGACGCTCCCCACCAATAGATGGAGCCTCCCCGAGCTTGCTAGTGGTGTCTGCTCTTATCAGCACCCCTAGCAATTGCTTGGGTTGTTTCTTCAAAAAAAAAAAAAAAAAAAAAAAAACACAACTGATCCACAATCAAGGTTCCAACTTCCAGAACTCCAGTTGCCTGCCAGCTTAGCATGTGCTCATAAGCAAATCTCACATAATTCCTCAGGTCACTGAACGCTACAAGAAACCCAGCGTCCGAGCAGATGTTCTCCAGAGTAGTCAACTTGTACTATCCAACTCTACTTGGGGCTGCAGAAATATCAGCAAAGAAATGTTGATGCCACTTGATGGCAGAAACAGAGTGCGAACGCCCGTCATATACGTGCTGCACTCGGGGAATATAAGAAAGCCTCATGGATAAAATAATGTGGTGGCGCGATGCAATGCAGGATTAGCCATGCAGAATCTCCTTCTCCTTTGCTCTTGAAAGTGTAGCCACGTGATTCACAAAATCTTTGGTGACTTCCTCTATCTCCTTCTCCTGTCGTTTCGTGTCATCTTCGGACATGCCCTCAGAGTCTTTCTTCAACATGGCAAGGCCATCTTTCCTCACCCTCCGCAACCGAACTTTTGCATTCTCTGAAGCTCTAGCAGCTTCTTTGGCAACGACCTCACGCACCTCCTCGGTCATGCGAGGCAATGGGACCAGACAACCATCTTCAGTTCTTTTTGGAAACAGCCCCGAAGGTGAATCCATGATGGCCTTCTCCACAGCATCAATCATATTTCGATCGTACACGAGGACGCCAAGTGTTTGTGGATCGCGCACAGTTACAGCAGCAATGGTGTTGAGGGGGAATGTCCCATCGCCACCATACCGGACATTGATATGACTTAGCAAACTGGGACTCGCCCGTCCCGTTCGCAGCTGTGCAAGCTCCTCCGTGAATGCATCGATCACCTCAACCATCTGACACCTGACTGTCTTGACCGGCCTTCCCTCTGCCTGATGCCCATGAACCACTCCATCTGCTTTGCTTCCACTCCTTCTCCCAAGCTGCTGCCCATGTTTGTCCTCGTCCTCGTCCTCGTCGTCGCCTTCGCTGTCACTGTCAACCCTGTCATGCTTACCTCCTCCTTTCCCTCTTGCTTTCTTCGTCTTCGCTTTTTTAGCATATGCCCTCAATTGCACAAAGTCCCACATGTCGGATTTCTTTGCCGACGAACACCAACAAGATGGCGTCACCGAGCTCAGACCCATCCTCCTATCGTTACAAAACTGCCTCTGGATAGAATTGGGATTGACATCCGAAGGCTTTCCTCTGTGCAAAAATGAACAGTATTCCCGGTGGCCAGCATGACTGGGAGAAGCCGGCAGCGCATTCCACTGTGGATTAGCAGGAACGGGCCGTATCAGGCGCGCAAAATACCGGCGAGCCAGAAGAGGATGTATGCCTGAAGAAACAGATTGACCTTGATTGACAAGGTCTCTCTCCGAAGGGGCTGACACATTGCCAAAGCAACTCCCCTCATTGAATGATTGGTTTGCAACTGCTTCGCCACCATTGGAAATACGGGCAGTCAATCTCGTCAGCCCACTTGCCCGTGACCTGCACAGACTGATCATCCGGCTTGGTCCCATGAATGCGGCACCCTGAACACAGAACCGCAGTGGATGGTTAACATTATTGACAGAACAAGATGGGCCAGTGCAGCTCCGCCCGCATCAGGAAAAGGCAGATTGGAAAGGCACAAATAGTCGATGGAGAGAGATGTATTAGAAGCGGTGTGAAGAAGTCGAGGTTATGGAGACTGAGCAGTCGTAACCAGTAGAGAAAAAGATGGGTGTTAGGGTGGTGGTCACAGGAATTCAGATGTTGTATAGCTACTGACCTTGCTGTTGAAGTGGCAAGAATGATAGTGATACCAAAGGAATGCAGGCGGGTAAAAAAAACAGCAATGGACATTTGATGAACAAAGTACATAGATCCTCTATGAGAAAGAACAGTGTTTCAGGTCTACGAGATGAAGAATTAACCCCCTACTGCAAACACTGCCATACCTTAAAGACATAAGTCAAAACATCACACGCCATAAACACTACATACCTTGGCCACAAAGACTTAAACCACCAGTACACCTGGGCCTGGAGGCGCTGTACTGCACGCCAAGCTTTTCCAAACCACCAGTGGTGCACTTTTTCTTTTTTGGCTGGTGCCGCCAGCCATGATGGTGGTCGGGTAGGCCGTGTACTGGCGGTTTAACCCCCTCCTCCTCTTCCCCCGGCAAGTCAAGAATGTACATCATTTACACACCCACACGTCCGTCCGTTTGTTTGATCCACGAACAACATTGGTTACTACCCAGTATTCACCAAGAAAAACAGGGACAGCGGCCATCTTTTTTTTTTTTTAAATAGGAAGGGGGACATTGGCCATCTAGTCGCCTGGTTTGGCCATTTCTTTCACTGGGTATAGGGCCTCACCACACTACTCACCAAATGCACAGAAGACAGAAATTATGGCAATGCATCTGTCCAGGGTCTAGCAAAAGATTCATTCTCATTTTGTACATTCGGTGCGTGGCACGGTGAAGGCCATGCTCACACTGGGACTTCTTCAACTTACCTCCGGATAGAATTTGGTGCATGGCACGGTGAGGGCCATGCTCACACTGGGACTTCTTCAACTTAACTATGGATGTAGAATTCTAGCGAAACATTTCATTCTCATTTTGTACATTCGGTACGTGGCACGGCAAGGGCCATACACACCCGCACTGAGTCTTGCACGCTCAGGCCCCAGTGCACAGCTGCTCTTTCCTTTTTTTTTGTTTTGTTTTCTGAAGGGCCGCAGCCTTGAGATATCATCATTGAACTGACCGACCCGGTAACTCAGAAGGATTTTGTCCTGTTAATCTGATTGCTAAATTACCTGCTGCAGCTTCGCTTGGAAGAAAATGGGAGGGAATACCACCGAACCTGTTTTATTTCTTTTACGGTGAGCGTTTTCGTTGAGAAGCATCGTTTCTAGCTCTATGCTGTGTGAAATTACCCAAACAGTTGCAGTCCGGGAACTCGGAACTTTTAAGAGAACATCCTGTCACGTTAATGTGTTTGCACAGGATTACGATTCTGTTTGCTGTGTTTTCTGAATATGTTTGTAATCAACCAATCTTGTATGGATACCGCTTACTTGCTTACTTTTGACTCTTTGTGTTCGTGCATGTCCGAGTGCATGGATGTGTGTGTGTGTGACACTCAGTTCGGTGAGATAGAGAATTGGCAGGGGGTAAGCTGAGATGGTGTGATTGAGAATTGGCCAAGGGCAGTTGTTAAAAGTCCCCTTCAATTATAGGAGTGCCACTGCTGTCATGCAGGCCTTGTAATGTATGAATGTATGAATGAAGTAATCAGCATCCAATCCGCTTGGCAGTTGCCATTTGCCGGGGGGAGTTATCTGAAATAGTGTTGTTACGTAAGCCGTAATGCTGGGCATGCATCTTGGAGCATTTCCCGCAAGGCAAAAGCCAAAGAAGAAACCGAGCAGCATGTGTCAGAAACACTTCCTGGACAGTGTGGCAAACTCTCCAGCCTCCCGTCCTTCATCCACATGATGCCCTCCGCCCCTCCAGCGTCTCTCCGCCGTCCGTCCACCAACCTCCTCTCGACCTTTTCCAAACTCCAGGCCAAATTACTCCAACCTCCACCCGGCCTCCATGCTCCATCCGTCATACTCCCTCACCCTCTGTGCCCATCCTACTACTCAACTGTGGCAACCTTTCACCCCTTCCACCCTCCTCTCTCACTGGATGGATCTTCCGCCTCCACTGTGCCCAACCTGCTCCTAAACTGACACAACCCTCCTTCCCCACTGCACCGACCCACCCATCCTACTCCTCAACTGTGGCAACCCTTCACCCCTTCCACCCTCCTCTTTCACTGGATGGATC